CTGATACAGCTGCCATCAACTGGTTATTCCCTTGTGGTGGAAAGGGAGAGGGAGGGAAGGGGCATGGGGGGCAGATAAACTTCCCCTGTGGTGAGGGAGGGGGCAGAGGCAAGTGCTGCCCAGCCGGGGCAGGGGGGTGGTAGGACGGGACAGAGGTGCAGCTTGTGGGGTGGGGGCAGCTTCCACTGCTGCTTGCACCCCAGGAGGGCAGAGGTGGGTGCAGGGGGGCGTGTACCCCCAGATCCATGCAGCGTGAGGCCAGTGGTAGCTGTGGGGTGGAGTTGGTGCTGCGCGGGGCTTTTCTTGCCAGGGGCTGAGTTTGGAGCAGGCTCCGGCAGTGCTGGGAGGAGGCCGCAGCCACCCCAGATTTCGCCGTATTTGCACTCCCAGCCCCGCACCACCACCTGCTGCCTGGCACTTGGGTGGAGGCATGGCATTCAGCTGGGGCTGCGCTGGGTGGCAGCACGGGCCTGGGAACAGAGCTGTGGCAGAATTTGGAATGACTATAGCCTCCTCCCAGTGCCGCCAGAGCCTGCTCCAAGCCTAGCCACCTGCGAGATGTGCCCCACGCAGCCCTGGCTCTGGCTCCACCCCACAGCTGCAGCCTGCCATGTGCCGTGCCATGCCCTCCCACCCCTGCCCTCACAGGGTGCAAGCAGTAGTGGGAGCTGCCCCCACCTCACGAGCTGCGCCTCTGTCCTCCTTCACTGCGGGAGGTGTAGATCTCCCTCACCATGCCTCTTTCCTTCCTCCTTCCTTTCCACCACACCGACCTGATGGCAGCTGTACTGGATATCAGATCGGTATCAGCTGATGTGCCTCGTTAAATATCGGCTATTGGTATTGGCCCCCGAAATCTCTGTTGGTGCACCCCTAGTACAAAGTCTTTTTACACTTGTTTTTAAAAACAACTGACAGATAGTCTGCCTGATGTGGCAGACTAATGTTGTAGTATTGTGGAGTTCCTAATTCCCAAGTCAGTTTCAGTCTTTTTTGAATTTAGTATTATTGACTACTGAGAAATTCAGCATATGATGCCCAGACAAGGTTCTTTGGGTGAATCTGATCTCTTTTATTAGACCAACTTAAATAGTTGGAAAATAATTTTAAAGCAAGTTTTCGGGTTCAAAAACCCTTCGTCAGGCTAAGGAAGTTTCAGCAGTTGATGTGTGCTCTTCCTGGATGGAATGAAAAGTAGAGGCCAGAGGCTGGGCTGGTATACTTCCTTAGCCTGACGAAGGGTTTTTGAACCCGAAAGCTTGCTTTGACCATCACAGCTACAACCTACACCCCTGTCTATAATGCCATAATTTTCAAACATTTTACTTACAATTCAGTACAGGTTTCCCTGACTTTATCTGGGTTCTGTATGTGCAAATTTGCTCTTATGCAATGACCTTTTTAATACTAAAAATTCGTTACATGTGAGGTAAATTCATTCTTACGTGGTCAGTGTGGTGGAAGCCATCAGTCAGCTGCTTTGTGTGGTGCATTGTGGGAGTGACGTGCACCAAAATATAGTCTCCTGTGTGGATCTGTGCTCCTTGCTCATTGTCTGTGATACACGTTTCTGTAGTTGCCATTCCCATTATGATAGTACCCTGTGCTTAGGTGTACTGTCTGGTGTTGGCGAGTACCAAAATCGTCTTGAAAAAGCAGTAGAAAGGGGCCAGGGGTCAGTTCAGTCGAGGTCTTGGAATGTATCCCTATTTGTTACTTTGTAAAGTGGGTTCCCTTTATGTGAATTTGAGTTATGCGCTGTTTTCCAGGATC